TGGTTCACTCCCCAGATGTGCGTAATAGCAAGGGCTGGGCAGGCTGAAGTCGGGAGCCAGGCAGGCACTCCATCTAAGCCTGCCACATCGGGCACTTGGGCTTCATTTGCCACTATAGTAGCTGAAGCGGAAGTGGCACTCAGTCTTCAGGCACCCTGACATAGGATGTGCATCAAAAGGCAGGAGCTTAATCCGCTGTACTGTGATGTCCACCCCTTGTTTAGGATCTGAAAAGGCAGATGTTAGAATATCTTGGCCAGGACCCCTGGCAAGAGGTTTTATCCTCCTTTGGGTAGCTGGTACCGTTCCCTGGCTTTGGGTTTGCTCAAACTTGCCTGCCTTCTTCCCTGACTCTGAATGAGCTGTGCAGCGAGTGACTCAGGCTGAGGTGACCCAGCTGAGAAGTGCCAGGCAGCAGTGTTAGCCCATTGTCTGCAGCTTAGGCAGTACTTTTAAGCATAACAGGATCTTGAGTTCTTGCTTGCTCTCGACAGATCTTGCTGGCCAACTTCTTAGCCCAGACCGAGGCCTTGATGAAAGGGAAGTCAACAGAGGAGGCCCGGAAGGAACTGCAGGCTGCCGGCAAGAGTCCAGAGGACCTCGCGAAGCTGCTGCCCCACAAGGTCAGTTCTGAAGATAGCCAGGCCAGGGGTGCCTGAGGCTCCCGATCATTCCGCCTGGGGACATTCCTTGGTGTTATTTTATTTTCTGCAGGTCTTCGAAGGAAACCGCCCAACTAACTCCATAGTGTTCACTAAGCTCACACCGTTCATTCTTGGAGCCCTGATTGGTGCGTTGGGTTGGGGAAGGGCCCAGCCTGGGTAGGGCTGTGTGGGTTGTGGCAGGGAACTGGGGATGCCCTAACATGGCCTGTCTGCCGCCTCTGCAGCCATGTACGAGCACAAGATCTTCGTTCAGGGTGTCATCTGGGACATTAACAGTTTCGACCAGTGGGGGTGAGTTGGCCGACTCAGCTGAGGGCAGGGATTACCTTCAGGTTGGCCTGTGCTGGGAGCATCCTTACCACTCTCTCCCTCCCCTTCGGCAGGGTGGAGCTGGGAAAGCAGCTGGCTAAGAAAATCGAGCCTGAGCTGGACGGCAGCAACCCTGTGACCTCCCACGACTCCTCCACCAACGGGCTCATCAGCTTCATCAAGCAGCAGCGTGAGGCCAAAATCTAATAAACTCATGCCCGGTTGCGGTCCCCCTGCCTCGTGACTGGTCCTTGTCCCATCTCACTGGAGTCTGCACTGCATGGTCCTGGCCCTCCCCTGCCCTGAGCACCGTAGAGAGGCTGTGGGTGAATTCAGACCACAACCCCTGGATTTGGTGTGGGTGGGAGCACAATCAAATCAAAGCCAGTCTGGAATCATCACTGCCACTCCTCCGATGTCCACTGTTTGACAGTTGGCTCAAGTGTCTTGGTGCAGCTGACTGGTCTCTGCTCACATCTCAGAAAAATAAAGATGTCACAAAGGAGATTGTGGGCTTGGCCTTGTGTTGTGTCCTGAGATGGTATATTGTACCAATGTCGGGGGAAGGGTGGGCCTGGGATCAACACCTGATGAACAGGTGTAGAGTAGGGAAGGAAGCTCGGCCCTTCATTAAATCCCAGCTCCACTACCTTCCACATCTTACCTAAAAACATGTGAGAAAGGCAGACACAAATCTTCCGTCCACTGACTCACTCCACCAAGTGCCAGGGGAAAACAGCGTTTGATGTGGGCTACAGGGGCTTGGGGGACCCACATAGTTGAGGCGGGCACAGGAGTAGAGAGCTGAATCCAGAATGGAGCTGGAAGCTACCCCCTCATTCATTCCACCGGCCCTTTTGTCTTCTACCAGAGATGACATTTTCTGCCAATTAGGACCAACGTTGTATTGAAGTCAGTAGGCAGAACTGATGGCCAGGCCAATCCCTTTTCATGGGACTGTCAACAGAGCTTCTTTTTGCCCAGTCCTCTCCTGGGTCACCTACTTTTGGCTGGTACCTGGGGTTGGTCACATGTGTTATATAAGAAGGGACAGCTGGGGTGAGCATTTCCTGCTCCTGTAGGGGGAAAGCAAACCCCACACCATACTCAAAGCTCAAGAGCTTTGTCAGTCTCCCGCATGTGTGGCAGAGGGCCAAGCACTTGGATCATCCTCTGCTGCTATTCCATGCCAACTGTAGCAAGCTGGGTCACAGCTTTGACTAAGATGTGAAAACCCAAACCTGGGCCCGGCGCGGTGGCATAAGAGGTTAAGGTCCTCACCTTGCACACCCGGGATCCCATATGGGCGCTGGTTCTATCCCGGCAGCCCCGCTTCCCTTCCAGCTCCCTGCCTGTGGCCTGGGAAAGCAGTAGAGGATGGGCCAAAGCGTTGGGACCCTGCACCCGCGTGGGAGACCTGGAAGAGGCTCCTGGCTTTGAATCTGCATAGCATCGGCCGTTGCGCTCACTTGGGGAGTGAATCATTGGACGGAAGATCTTCCTCTCCGTCTCTCCTCTCTGTATATCCGCCTTTCCAATAAAAAAAAAATAATAATAAATAAATCTTAAAAAAAGAAAAGAAAACCCAAACCCAACCAAGAAAGATGATCCCAAGGGCCCTACTGTGAAGTCAATGGTAAATCTGATGTTAAAATTTCACACGTGTAATTCCAGAAATATTTGTGCAATCTCTCCTTCAACAGCAGTAATTAACATTTTAAAAATTAACCTGAAACAGTAGGCCTTTATGATCCTTCCTTGATAAAGAAGGCTTGTCACGTGACAGTTAAGCCACTGCCTGCAATGCCTATATCCAATATCAGATCTGGGTTTGGAAAACCACATTAAGTCTCAGCTGCTTTTTATTTAAGATTTTATTTTTTATTGGAAAGTCAGATCTACAGAGGAGAGACAGAGGAAGATCTTCCATCCGCTTATTCACTCCCCAAGTAGTCCAACGGCTGGAGCTGAGCTGATCTGAAGCCAGGAGCTTCTGGGTCTCCCACATGGGTGCAGGGTCCCATGGCTTTGTGCCATCCTCAGCTGCTTTCCCAGGCTAGACACAGAGAGCTGGATGGGAAGCGAGGCTGCTGGGATACAAACTGGTGCCCATATGAGATCGTGGTGCGTGCAAGGTGAGGACTTTAGGCTACTGTTCTGGGCCCCAGTCCCAGCTGCTCTACATCCCAACCAGCTCCCTGCTAGCGCACCTGTCTTCAGCCCGACCAGCCCTGGCCACTGCAGCTATTTGGGCAATGAATCAGTGGGAAGATCTTTCTCTGTCTCTCTCTGTAAATCTGCTTTTTCAATAAAAATAAATCTTTTTTAAAAAGGGGGTATAAAAGAGACAATATTAGGAAGTAATCAGCTGACGGATGTTAGGGAGATGCCAGAATACCTTGGAAGCATGTCTCGCTTCGTTGTTAGCAATGAAAATTTTGAAGTGTACTTCTTAGAATAATTTCAAAAAATGTGTTTTTTGGGAACATTAGTTAATATGGCCATACATGTTACATCATGCAATGTTTTTTGCTAAACTTGAAGGTCAAATTTCACAGAACCCTATATATATATAAGCTGGAGTTACAGAGGGAGAGGCAGAGATCCTCTATCCCCTGGTTCACTGCCCCACTGCGGCTTCTGGGTCTCCTATGAGAGTAACAGGAGCCCATGCTCTTGGGCTGCTTTCTGCTGCTTTCCCAGACATTAGCAGAAGTTGGATCGGAAGTGGAACAGCCAGGACTCGAACCATCATCGTGAGGGCTTGTCCCAGCACACCAAAGTGCTGTCCCCCACAGAACTCTTTGAAGCTGCTGGGCGGCAGGCATGACGAGTAACATAGTGCCATGTCCACATTTCCTGCTGGGGCTACGGTCGGAACTCGGAGCTGCTGCTTCCTTCTTTGGGGTGCATGGAGGTCTTTGGAAACTTGGATTACATTTGCGTATCAGTCCTGAGATAGCCCTATTGCAAGGAGTGTGTGTCTTAGTCATTGATACATTAATTACACTGTAGTAAAACATAGTTTCTGGGCCTGGTGCAATGACTCATTTGGCTAATCATCACCCTGAGAGTGCTGGGTCAGTTTGTGTCCCAGCTGCTCCACTTCCCCTCCAGCTTACTGCTTGTGACCTGGGAAAGCAGTAGAGGATTGCTCAAAACTCTTTGTGGGCCCGGCCTAGTAGCATAGCGGTTAAGGTCCTTGCCTTGAGTGTGCCAGGATCGCATATGGGCGCCGGTTCTAATGCCATCCAGCTCCCTGCCTGTGGCCTGGGAAAGCGGACAAGGATGGCCCAGGGCTTTGGGACCCTGCAGCCGCGTGGGACACCCAGAAGGAGCTTCTGGCTCTTGGCTTTGGATTGGTTCAGCTTCAGCCATTGCAATCGCTTGGGGAGTGAACCATGAACGGATGATCTTCCTGTCTGTCTCTGCTCTCTGTATATTTGCCTTTCCAATAAAAATAAATACAGTTTCGAGTTTTAGCTGATGCCAAAAACACGGCAGTTGAGAAACAGTATTTCTCATTCTAGAAAGATTCTGGCACCCTCCCAAACTCCAGCCCCGAGGTCAGCACTGGATCTTTTGATCTCTTTCCCTGAAGTTTTGTCGCTTCCGGAATGCAGTTGTTAACTCCTGAAAAATTCATCCCTCCTGCGCCACAGGCATTTGAAAGCGACGTTCTGGAGGTAATTTCAACATGAGTTGAATATAAGCATCAACCTCCACGCGCCGGCAAACAACCGCGCCCCCCTTTTACATAGCTGGAAGTCCAAAGTGTCCTTCAACCTGTCAGCATGTGAGGTTCGTGAGCTGGCACTAGCCCACGTCCTCTACACGTTGGTTTTCCACGTCAAGCTTTCTGGCTAGGTAAGTTCAGAGCTGATGCTGTGCGTATTTTCTCAGGCTCGGCCCTGGGATCCCGCGGCGTCAGCGCTTTCACGGCCACGCGGCGGGGTAGTGCGCGTGCGCCTCCCGGGCCCCTCGCGGCCTCCGTAGTCCTCCTTCCTCACGTGCGTGCCGGTTGTCATGGCGGCCGTCCGCAAACCTGTGCTGCTCGGCCTTCGGGATGCTGAGGTGCGCGGCCACCCGACGGGACCCGGCGCCTGGACCGCGAGCAAGCTGGGCGGCGTGCCGGTGAGGGCGGGTGCCGGTGAGGGGCGGCGCGGGGCCGCGCGAGGCTCCGCGGGGTTCTGAACGTCTCCCTGTGCCTTCAGGACGCCCTGCCCGCCGTGGCGGCGCCGAGGCCGGTGTGTCCGCGCTGCGGGGAGCCGCTCGCCCTGGTCGTGCAGGTGTACTGTCCGCTGGAGGGGTCCCCGTTCCATCGGTTACTCCACGTGTTCGCCTGCGCCCGTCCAGGGTGCGGTGGCAGTGGGGCGCACAGGTAGGCAGGGCGATCCCGGACCTGCTAACCCCCTTCCCGGGACGTGAGCGCGACCCCGGGGCGCAGGGGGTCTCGGAGGGTCCCTGGGGGAAGCCTCACGGTCGTCCGTCTTTACCCTGAAGCTGGAAGGTGTTCCGCTCCCAGTGCCTGCAGGTGCCCGAGAAGGAGGCGCAGCCCCCTCAGGTAAAGCGGTCAGAGTTGGCTTATGATGGTTTGTTGTAATTGGAGGGTGTTTGCAAGAATAGTGTGTAAGGACAGACTTTCTAGACATATATTCATGGCTTTTAATCTTTTTCTTTAAAAAAAATTGTTTTCTTGAGGTTTTGCGAGTTATTTTAGTTTACACTGAAAGTTTAGAGGCATACAGCTTACTGTTTTTTTTTTTTTCCTAATTTGGGAAAATGCACACATCTTTTCCTGTGTGTTGTAATAGCTGTGTTTACAGTACCTCTGTTTCCTCTGATGTGTAGCTACCAGCGTGTGCATCTGTAAGAAATGAAGTAATATAAAAGAGATGAAGACAGCCACAGAGAAAAATCCAGGCTGCCTTTGCTAAGTAAATGTTATCTTCTGTACGCAGAGTCTTTCTTTTATTTCTTATGACGTTTTTATTTGAAAGGCAGATTTACAGAGAAGGAGAGAGATCTTTCATCTGCTTTTTCACTCCCCAGTGTGCATAATGACCAGGAGCCAAGAGCTTCATCAAGGTCTGCCACACACAGGTGCTGGAACCCCCCGGCCCACTGCTGTCCTCCACTGCCCTCCCAGGCCAGAAGCAGCAAGCTGGATGGGAAGTGGAGCAGCTGGAACATGAACTGGTGTCCATGTGGGATGCTGGTGCTTGCAGGCAGAGGATTAGCCTGTTGAACCACTGTGCCAGCCCCTTATTCTTGGATTGATTTGTTTGTTTAAAAGGTGAAGCCACAGAAATAGAGAGATCTTCCATTCATTTGTTCAGTCTGCTAGTGCCCGCAATGGCTAGGGCAGGATTAGGCTGAAACTGTGAGCCCAGAACTCGGTCTGGGTCTCCTATGTGGGTGTCAGGCACTGGCTGTCAGGTGGGCACCTGCAGGAAGCTGGGTGTGAGGTTAGGTGGTGGTGAACCACACCGGGACACTCGGGTATCGGATGCAGGCTCTCCTAGAGGCATCTTAACTACCTCGCCATGCTGGGTCTTGTTTGTTCATCTGATAGGCAGCTACCCAGTGAGCTCCGATTCACTAATGCCTTCCCTGAATGCTGCCAACAGCTGGGAGTTGGGAAACTCAGGCCAGGCCAGGCGTGCCCTATGATCAGCAGACAGATCCAACTACTTGAGCTGTGATCCTTGCCTCCCAGTCACCGCTGTTGGCCAGGCATAAGGCAAGCAGTACAGGGAAGAAAGAGGTGAGGATGGTGGTGCTTGCTTAGCGTGCCTAGGGTTCCACTCCAGGGGATGGGGTGGTAGTAGCGGGTACTTTCTAGCTGACCCAGAGAACTGGTTCCTCCTTGGCTAGGCTGGGGAAGGTGGTTCCATTCTGACCATGAGAACCAGCCCCCCAGGGAGCTGCTGGGCTGCCTGTCATGGGGTCTGGTGAGCTGCGAGCCAATGTCGTCACACAAGTGCCAACTCCAGAGCCTTGCTCTATCTGCATGTGCAGAATGGCTGCCGTGTTTGCCCCTGTAACCGTCTCAAGTCTGTCTGCGTGTCCAGTGGATTTCCTGTGCAGTGCCTGGCGCAATTCCTCAATTGACTGATTCTAACCTTGCAAGCCCTAAGATCTATATGGATGCTAGTTCATATCCTGGTTTCCCCACTTTCCATCCAGCTCCCTGCTTATGGCCTGGGAAAGCAGCCAAGGATGGATCAAAGCTTGGGACCCTGCACCCTTGTGGGAGACCTGGAGGAGGCTCCTGGCTCTTGGCTTTGGATCTGCTCAGCTCCAGCCATTGCAGCCATTTGGGGAGTGAACCAGTAGATGGAAGATCTTTCTGTTTGTCTCACTATAAATCTGCCTTTCCAAAGAAAAAAAATAAAGATCTCATTGGCAGACCTCTGATCACTCCCAAAACCCTGGCTACTGCACTGCAGAGCAGTTTTGGGGGCAGCTAGTTGAAGAAACTAGATGCTGAGTCTTATACACGCTGCGCTGTACAGGGCAAACAAGTTTTAAGTCTGTTAATAGACAGAATCCAGGAAGTAGCACTGGGCTGTTGCCAGCTGGGAAGGGGCGGTACGAAAGCACCCGCAGGAAGTCAAAGGGATGGTTGGCTAAGGCCAAAGGAGCAGCTGAGACCACCCCATGTGCCTGGCCCATATTCACTCAGTGTTTTCCCAGAAGCAGGAAAATGGCCTTGACGCTCAGGACTGGTGTGATGGTGCCAATGACTGGGGAAGTGACAGCGAGGAGGTGCCTCCGTCACAGACGCCCTTGGATTGTGGGAATGGACCCAACAGCTCTAAAGGCGGAGACTGGACCACGCAGCTGCAACACCTCCGCTTGCAGGACGCAGCACCGGACACCATTCAGCAAGGCCAAGGGGTGACCTTGCCCACTGTGCCGCCCCTGCAGTTCCTGCCGTACTACATTGCAGTGGTGGATGAAGATGACTACAGGGACTGTGCAGGCCTGGACCATGCCCAAAGCCTTCTGCGGGACTATCAGCACAGAGAAGGGGTCGCCCTGGACCAGCTGTTGTCCCAAGGGTGAGGGCGGAGGGTGGCTGGTCAGCAAGCTGCCACCAGGGGAAACTTTGATCTTCATCCTGGTCCAAGGGGGCTTTCTTAGGCACAACCAGTGTGGCAGGACCTTCCCCTCTCACAGGCAGGCACCAGTAGGTTTCCTTATCAGGCAGCTTGGAGTTAGGTAGGAAGTCCTTGGCTCAGTTAGCAAGTGTGCTAACAAAGGCGAACAAAAAGAAGTTAAAAATTGTCACGTATTTATAGCAAATGCGGTTAGGATTGCTGTAACTGGGTCAGGCCAGTGCTGGGATCCAGGAACTCAATGCAGATCTCCTGCACAGGTGGCGGGGACCCAGCTGTTTGAGCCCTCAGCTGCTGCCTTGAAGGGGGGTTGGCGTTTTAGGAGGAAGCTGAATCAGGATGAGTCGCCACTCCAACCCGAACACTCTGATTCAGGCCATGGGCATTCTAAGCAGTGGCTCAGCAGCTAGGCACAATGCCTGTTTCTGGGACAATGCCCTAACCCTGGGATAACTATTTAAGAAGTCGTGACAGGAGGGCCTGGTGCAGTAATATAGCTATTAAAGTCCTCGCCTTGAACGTACCAGAATCCCATATGAGTGCAAGTTCTAATCCCAGCAGCCCTGCTCCCCATCCAGCTCCCTGCTTGCTGCCTGGGAATGCAGTCAAGGATGGCCCAAAGCCTTGGGACCCTGCACCTGTGTGGGAGACCTGGAAAAAGCTCCTGGCTTCTGGCTTCGGATTGGTGCAGTTCCAGCCGTTGCAGCTGTTTGGCGAGTGACCCCTCAGACGGAAGATCTTCCTCTCTGTCTCTCCTCTATATATCTGCCTTTCCAATAAAAATAAATAAATCTATAAAAAAGAAAATAGTTATCCCAGGGTTAATAATGGCATGTGAGACGGATAGGCCATCAGGTTACAGACGATATATACCATATTAAATATTAGTATTATTTAAGTTGTATATGTGTATTTTGTTTCCCCTTGCAAACATTAATTCTTTGGCTTAGAGAGACTCAGTGTTTTCTGCTTTTCTCTTTAGTCTTCCTAATGATGGTGATGAGAAATATGAAAAGACCGTAATGAAAAGTGGAGACCAGATATTTTACAGATTCATGAAGAGAATTGCAGCTTGTCGGGAGCAGATTTTGAGGTAACGGACACACATTTGCTTCCTTTGTTTTGTATCATCAGAATCACTCGCATGAGCTTGGAAAGTACAGAGTAGGATAATGGGAACAGCAGCATCACAGGACTCCTAAACCTTGAGAACCACTAGACTATGCAAAGACTGTGGAAAATAGGATTAAAGGATAAAGTTATCTCATTGCACCGAAGTCCAATGTGAGAGGCAGAGAAGGAAAACTGCTGTTTTCTGGTTAATTCCCCAGTTACTCTTGAGAGTGAGGGCCAGGCCAGGCTAATGGCAGCAGGGGGCACCTCCCACAGGGGTATCAGGAACCCAGAACTGGAGCCAACACTGTGGCCTCCCAGGGTGTGCCTTAGCAGGAAGCTAGGAGCCAGAGCCCAGCAGGATCTGAAACCAGGTGTTCCAGTGGGGTTTGAGACATGCCCCAGCTGCTATGCAGATGTTCACCTCAAAATTAGAATTTTTAAAAAACATCATTTGAACCTGGTATGATAACCTAGTGGTTAAATCCTAAACCTTACATGTGCCAGGATCCCATATGAACACCAGTCCATATTCCAGCTGCCCCACTTCCCATCCAGCTTCCTTCTTGTAGCCTGAGAAAGCAGGAAAGCCTTGGGACCCTGCACCCATGGGGGAGACCTGGAAGAAGCTCCTGGCTCCTGGCTTCTAATTGGTTCAACCCCAACTATTGTGGCCACTTGGGGAGTGAATCAGTGGAGGGAAGATCATTCTCTCTGTTTTCCCTTCTTTTTGTAAAATTTGCCTTTCCAATAAAAATAAGTAAAATCTAAAAAATAAGCAAAAATGGCGTAACTGGAACCATAAAGTCAGTGTAAGTTTTCTTTTTCAGTGAACGTATATTTATGTAGTAAAATTTCTCCAAAATATTTTCTCTACTTTTCTTAAAACTTTTTACTATGTAATAACACAGAGTGTTGCGAGCCAGCACACAACAATCCTGCAACAAACAAAGCTGCGGTACCAGCGGTGAAAGACTTAGAAATACAAGAATCAAGATTGAAAGCGCAGACCAGCTGGATGGGAAGTAGAGCTGCCGGGATTAGAACCGGCGCCCATATAGGATCCTGGTGCTTTCAAGGCGAGGACATTGACAGCTATGCTATCATGCCGGGCCCTAAAATTTCATATTAAAAAAAAGAAAGTGTTTCCTGGGTTCAGCATTGTAGCATAGTTGGCTCGCCTGAGCAGGAAGCTGGGGACGGGCATGCACCCAGCACCTGATCCGAGTCCCTTCGTTCTTGGTGATGAGTGTCCCGAGCTGTGTTGAATCACTTTGCCAGACAACCCGTCCCGCATTGATATTTCACGGTTTTGTTGAGGAGTGATTGATAAAGTAGACTGCCAGTATTTATAGTGTGCACTGTGATTAATTTTGTCCTCTGAACACGCATGAAGTCGTCACCATGTTCAAGGTGTGGCTAGAAGTGCGAGTTCACCTCCGTACCATTCCCTGCCAGCTGCCCCCAGCTCCGGGAAGCGCCGTCTTCCTGTCGTTGCACCTGAGTACTTCCCCGTGTATTTATGTAAATGAACTCATAAGGTTATGTGTTTCGGAGGGTCTGATTTCCTGTAGCATGATTATTTAAGAATTCGTGCTTGTTAGGTGTATCCACAGTTCGTTTCCAGAGCAGGGGTTTGATTGGCAGTTAAGGGGACCACATCCCATCTGGGATGCTTGTTCCTGCTTCCTGCTCATGCAGACCGTAGGAAGCAACATCATGCTCAGGTAACTGGGTGCTTCCCTCTGGCTCGGAGACCTGGATTCAGTTACTGGCTCTTGGCTTTGGCCGACTCGGTACCAGCTGTTGGCAGGAATTTAGGGACTGAGCCTGCAGGTGGGAGCTCTCCTGCCTTCTTTGTTTCTTGAAATAAATTAAAATCAAGAAATAGTTCAGTGGCAGGGGTTAGGGCGTATGGGTCAAGCTACCGCCTGCAATGCCTGTATCCCTCATCAGAGTCCCTAGAAACAATTCCCTCCTCTGGTCCCAACCCAACTTCCTGCTGATATGGAAGTTAGGGGGATGGCAGGCAATGACTTGAGCACTTAGGATACTGGCACGCATGGGGGAGAGCCAGTTGGATTTCTGATCTGGGTTTGATTAGGCCCAGCACCAGCAGGGGCAAGCATTTGAACCAGTAATCTCTCATTTCTGTTGTTCTGCTTTTCTTTCTTTTTTTTTTTTTTTTTTTGTTTTTAACGTGTTTATTTTTGTTGGAAAGTCAGTTTTACAGAGAGAAGCAGAGACAGAAATATCTTCTGTTCATGGTTCACTTCCAAAATGGCCACAATGGCTGTACCTGAGCCAATCTGAAGCCAGGAGCTTCTTCTGGGTCTCCCACTTGGGTGCAGGGTCCCATGTCATTGGACTGTCCTTTACTGCTTTCCTGGACCACAAACAGGGAGCTGGATGGAAAGTGGGGCAGCTGGGACATGAACCACCTCCCGTATGGGATCCCAGCGTGTGCAAGGTGAGAACTTTAGCCACTAGGCTACCTTGCTGGGCCTTGTTCTGCTTTTCAAATAAAAAAATGTGTTTTTTTAAATAAAGATTTATTTTATTTTTATTGGAGAGTCAGATTTACAGAGAGAAGGAGAGATAAAGATCTCCTTTAAAAAATATGCATTTTTTATTTGAATTTCTTTTAAAATTATTATTATCATTCTATGGTAAAATTATATTGGCCCTGGGATTTCCCCTGCCTCCTTCCCCCCACTGAATTGCCTATATTATTACTATAGCACAGCTTGTCATACAGTCACATGTTCGTCATTGTGGTCATGCACAATAGCAGAGAGTCCAGCATGCTATTGTCAAGATACTGCCAATAGTTTCATTAATATCCATCTTTGATCTGGAAATAGAGATGCACGCTGCCCTGCATCCTCACCTCTGGCCATGATAGTCTCCATTGCACAGTCGCCACACATCCCTCTTAAATGAAAGGTGACAATACAAAATCAACAGCAGGAAGAAAAAGAAAGTAACAACACCATGAATTTCTCAAGAGGTTTTGATAGTTGAACAGTTCTGAATTGCTGGCAATCCCACCACTCCAGTCACAGTGAAATCTCCTGAATCCACTGGCTGCAATAGTCCACGTTAGTGTCTCCATCTGCCCAACAATTGGCTGTGGTAGTTGATCAATGTGTTCTGCCCTCTGTCCTCTCCCATGGTACCAGGTGTCCTCTGCAGCTATACTGATCCGAAGCCAGTAGCTAGGAGCTCTTCTGGGTCTCCCACATGGGTGCAGGGTCCCAAAGCTTTCAGCTGTCTACGACTGCTTTCCCAGGCCACAAGCCAGAACCTGGATGGAAAATGGAGCTGCTGGAATTAGAACTGCTGCCCATATGGGATCCTGGTGCTTTCAAGGGGAGAACTAGGCACTAGGCCACCGCACTGTGCCCTGACTAGCCAATTCTTACAATGCCATTTTTGATTTATAACTGACTACTTTTATCAATTTTTGAGAGGAGTGTCAGGTCTCCTGTCAAAGGAGGCAGGCTTAGTACATAAGATGTCAGCTTCACACATCAGACTGCTTGAGTTCAGATTCTGTCTCTGCTCCTGTTCCAGCTTCCTGCTGGTGTCTACCCGAGGAGGCATCAGATGGTCACTTGACATTTTGTCCCTGCCACTTGGTGTGAGTGGGGCTTCTGGCTTCTGGCTTCATCCTCACCCAGCTCTGGCACTGCAGGCATTTGTGAAGGCTTTGTTCTCATGTTCACATTATATACTTTGTCTTTCTCCAGATGGATGATTTCATATTTTTGCTTATGTGTTTTGATTTATTCAGTTCCAATTTTGCTGAGCTTTGTGGATGCGTTTATAGGTTGATGTCTTTAATTAATGAAAAATTTTGTATGTTTAGACTCTTCAAACCATAGTTCTTAAATTCTTTCTCTTTTATTTCACTTTAAATAATTTAGTCTTCTAGGCCCAGGTCAATAGTCTAGTGGCTAAAGTCCTTGCCTTGCACGCACCGCGATCCCATATGGGCACTGATTCTAATCCTGGTGGCCCCACTTCCCCAGCTCCCTGCTTGTGTCTGGTAAAGCAGTGGAGGGCAGCCCAGGACCTTAGCATCCTGCACCCACATGGAAGACCCTGAGGCTCATCCAGGCTTCTTCCTGACTTCGGTCCAGCTCAGCTCTGGCCATTGCGGCTGCTTGGGGAGTAAATCAACAGGCAGAAGATCTTCCTCTCTGAATATCTGACTTTCCAATAAAAATAAATAAATCTTCAAAAGAAGTTTAGTCTTTCTCAGATTTACACTTTTTAAAATTTGTTGTTTTCACTTGGATGTTAACTTTGAATGAAATTCTTTATTTCTCATGTAGCATTTTTTATTTCTAGCATTTCTGTTTCAGTTGGTTGCGGTTGCTATTTCTGGGCTAACTTCCCCATCTGTTTATGTCTATTTCCCTTTTCCATCATTTTTTTTCTTTTTTTACATATTTTGTTATCCATATTTGACATCCTTGTGTGGTAGATGCATCATCTATCTTGCTGTGGGCATTCCCAGTGACTCTTTCATTTACCTGTCAGGGAGAGTGCACTGGAGGGCGCTGCGTCCTGAAGTTCAGGCTGTGGCCCTTCCTGCTCAAGGCCGGAAGCAGGGAGGCTGAGCCATGTGAGTTTGCAGTGATGTTGGCGCTGGACTTTGTTGCCATTTTAGTTAAATTTCCATTTACATGGGCTTGAGCACCTGCTACCAGACCTTGAGCTTCAGGTATCCTGTTTTCTGCCTTGGGTCTCTCAGGACCTTGTTATCTGCTCTTATTTATTTATTCATTTTTTAAATTTATTTTATTGGAAATTCAGATATACAGAAATGAGGAGAGATAGAGAGAAAGATCTTCCATCTGCTGATTTGCTCCCCACGCAGCTACAATGCCCAGTACTTTTCCAATCTGAAGCCAGGAGCTTCTTCTGGTCCTCTCATACAGGTTTAGTTTCCCAAAGGCTTTGGGCCTTCCTTGACTGCTTTTCCAGGTCATAAGCAGAGAGCTGGGTGGAAAGTGGAGCCGCCAGGATTCAAACTGGCATCCATAGGGGGTTTGAGCATATCTGCTAGGCTTGTCTGATCTTGCTTTGTTGCTAATGTTCTCCGAGACAGAGTGTTCAGTGTGGCCTTGATTGTTGGACTGGGACCTGGAGGTGACTGACTCCGGCTCCCCATGTTTTTGTCCTAGGTACTCTTGGAGTGGAGAGCCACTCTTCTTGATGTGTCCCGTCTCAGACGTCACGGAGCCCCCAGCCTGCAGTCACTGCGGAGGTCCGAGGACGTTTGAGTTTCAACTGATGCCAGCACTGGTCAGCATGCTCCAGGCTGCTGATTCAGGTAAGGAGCCTGGCTCTGAGTTGGTGGGTTTCTGGAATAATTTTGGAATTATTTTAAAAGGAAAGACTCCCTTTATATATATGTAATATCTGCTATGTTTTAGTTTTGTTTATACCCCAAATGACTGCAGTGGCCTGCCTGCCTGCCTCCTTTCCATCCTTCCTTTACGCCCTTCCATCTTTCCTTCCTTGTCTCTTTGGCATAGTTACAGAGAGAGACAGAGACAGATTGCACGTCTTCTGGGTCTGTCCGTGAATGGCTGCTAGAGCCAAATCTGGACCAGGTGGAAAAAGGAACCTCTGAGTCTCCCAGTGGCTGCATTGACCGAGGACATGGGGTGTCTGCTGCTTTCTAGGAACGTTATCATCCCGTGTGGGTACAGGTTCCTGCTCCAGTTATTCCGCTTCTGGTCCAGCTCCCTGCTAATGGCCTCTGACTTTGAAGTAAACTAAAGGAATCTTTTTTTTTTTTTTTTTTTTAATTTGTTTCTTGGGCCTGGCGGCATGGCCAAGTGGCTAAGGGCCTCGCCTTGAATGCGCCAGGATCCCATTTGGTCGCCGGTTCTAATCCCGGCAGCTCCACTTCCTCTCTATCTCTCCTCCTGTGTATCTGACTTTTTTTTTTTTTTTTTTTAAAAAAAGGTTTATTTCTTTTTATTGGAAAGCCAGATACACAGAGAGGAGGAGAGACAGAGAGGAAGATCTTCCATCTGATGGTTCACTCCCCAAGTGACTGCAAAGGCTGGATCTGAGTCGACTAGGAGCCAGGAGCCTCTTCTAGGTCTCCCATGTGGGTGCAGGATTCCAAGGTCTTTGGGCCATCCTTGACTGCCCTCCCAGGCCATAAGCAGGGAGTTGAATAGGAAGTGAGGCTGTTGGGATTAGAACTGGCACCCATATGGGTTCATGGCACTTCCAAGTTGAGGTCTTTATAGCTGCTAGGCCACAGCGCTGGGCACATAAATGAATCTTTAAAAAAATGCCAGCTCGGTAATCTAGTGGCTAAAGTCGTCACCATGCACACACCGGGATCCCGTATTGGTACCAGTTGGTATCCCGGCGGCCCCACTTCCCATCCAGCTCCCTGCTTGTGGCCTGAGAAAGCAGTACAGGACGGCCCAAAGCCTTGGGACCCTGCAGCCGTGTGGGAGACCAGGAAGAAGCTCCGGGCTCCCGGATTCGGATCAGCTCAGCTCCGGCCGTTGAGGCCATTTGCAGAGTGAATCAGTGTATGAAGATCTTCCTCTCTGTCTCTCCTCTTCTCTGTATATCTGACTTTCTAAAAAAAATTAAATAAATCTTAAAAATGAAAGAAAGAAAGTAATAAAGCAGCCTGCTTGCACTGCAGATGGCAGCTTTGCTTGCTCTGCCACAGTGATGGCCTCATCGTCTTATTTTTTATATCTGGCCTGCAATTCCTTTTTTTTTGGTCTTAAGATTTATTTATTTTTTTGGAAAAGGCAGATCAGATTTACGGAAACAAGGAGAGAATGATCCACTGTTTCATTCCCTGAATGGCTGCAATGGTCAGAGCTGAGCCATTCTGAAGGCAAGAGGCAGGAGCTTCTTCTGGGAAGAAGTGGAGAGGGCTGTTTCCAGCAGCCCAAACGCATCAGTACCTGGGGATGAGGACAGCCACCCAGTGTCCTATCAGGGTCCCCGATGTGGAGCACGTTCTAAGTGTACTGCTAAAGTGTGTGTGTGGTTTTTTTTAAAATAAGAGTTATTTATTTATCCATATTAGAAAGTCAGATATACAGAGAGGAAGAGAGAGAGGAAGATCTTCCGTCTGATGATTCACTCCCTATAAGCAGGGAGCTGGATGGGAAGTAGAGCTGCTGGGATTAAAAACGGCACCCATATGAGATCCCGGCATATTCAAAGAGAGGACTTTAGCTGCTAGGTCACCGCGCTGGGCCCCCGAAGTGGTTTTGATAGTTCTGGGATGCTGTTGATTTCTTTGCTTCCAGGTTGAGGAAATCCTTCCATAAGCTAACAGTCTACTTTACCGTCTCCATTCGCTCAGATACTGAAGTCACTGTTATAGCTTCGCCTGGAGAGTTGTCCAACTTGTTCTGTCCTCCCTGATACTGGATGCCCTCTGCAGCCCTCAGTGAACTGGTTGTCATGTCCCCCATGTGCATCTGGCATGCTTACTAATGGAAACTGCAGCCTTGCTGGGGCGTCCCCTTAGCTCCCTCACCAGGCCCATCCTCTGCCACACATCTTGCATGTGCTTTTGTTTGCTCTGACCATCCCAGCATAACCCATGACCCATCAGATGTTGCAGACTGGCCTGACCTGGCCCGCCCCCAGTCCCAACTCGTCTGAATCATTGGATTGGTGCTGCAGCTTAGTCTAGTCCTGTATGAACTGCATCCCATCCTCACTCCTGCACATTGTAATGTCCTGTGGTATGCTCTAACCCTACCCAGTCTGCCCTCCCTTCCCGAGCTAAACCTGCCAAACCCACACACCTGCCAAGCAGTGAAGCAGCCCTGCCTGGCCAGACCGGCAATCAGCTCTGACTCACCTGCTCACTGGTGGGAACTGTGGCCCACCAGGGGAGTTCCCTAAGTTCTCCTACCAGGCCTACTTCTAGACCCCGATCTCATGCATGCCAGTGGGTGTTGGGCCCTTACTGGGCACAGTCTGCCCCTCAGTGTCAGCCTTTGTGTGTGCTGTTGGGTGTTGTTGCACAGCCTGTCCCACACCCTATTCTTGGGTGCGCCTGTGGGTGCTGCAGCTTCAACCAGCCCGGCCTGTTTCCAACCCTGGTTCTCATGATTATTGGTGAGTTCCTTGGTCACGCCTGGCTTGACCCGTCACCACTCCCAGCCCTCGAGTAAACCAGCTAGTATCGCAGTCCCACGGGGTCGAGCCCACAAATCCCCCACAGGATCTACTCCCAGACCAAGTTCTCTCACATGCCATTTAGTGTCATGGCCCAGCCTGACATGGTCCACCCAACACTGGCTTGTGGGTACTGTGTTCGAGCCTTGTCAGGCCCATCCCCAGCTGTGGGTTTCATGTTGATACCCACAAGCCTAACTCAGGCCCGGTGTTGCCATCTTCAGTTTCTCCCTTTACTTTTTTTTTTTTTTTTGTCAATTTTTCCATTCTGATTTCTTTCTTTCAAAAGGAAGTGTATTTTTTGATTTTCTTAGTAATCATTCTGATGATTACAATCAATGCTTTTAAAGTATTAGTGTAACAATGTGGTTGGAATAGTACTTTTTTTAAATTAAAGATTTATTTATTTTTATTGGAAAGGCAGATACACAGAGAGGAGGAGAGACAGAGAGGAAGGTCTTCCATCCAATGGTTCACTCCCCAGGTGACTCAATGGCTGGAGCTGAACCAATGTGAAGCCAGCAGTCTCTTCCAGGTCTCCCACATGGGTACAGGGACCATCCTCAACTGCTTTCCCAGGCCACAGGCAGTGAGCTGGCTGGAAAGCAGGGCCGCTGGGATTAGAACTGGCGCTCATATGGGATCCTTGCTCATTTTAGGTGAGGACTTTAGCCACTATGCTATTGAGCCAGGCCCAGTACTAACTTTGAAGAGTAAGCAGTCCCCTTCCTTTTTGCTTCATATTGTTATTCTGTTAGAAGCTTTGCGGGGCAACCTTATTTTTTTAAAAAGGTTTGTTTATTTGAAAGGCCAAGTTAGAGAGACAGTCGGAGAGACAGATCCTCCAGCCACTGATGTCCTCCTTAGATAGCCAGCTGCGCAGTGCCAGGCCAAAGCCAGCAGCCCCTCCTGGATCTCGCACTTGAGTGCCAGGGCCAAGCACTTGGTCACCCTCTGCTTTCCCACGCACGTTAGCAGAGTGCTGCTGTTGTACCCAGATTGTGAGATCCCCAGAAATCGCCAGGAGTCTAAAGTTGATGCAAGTGCACAAGGGCGGTTTATTTAAGCTCGGCGTGTCCGAACTTGGGTTCTTGGTTGAGAGAGCTGGCAACCGACTGACTGGACCAGCAGGCGTCCAGCCAGCAGGGACCAAAACTCCTTAAAGGAGTGGGGCAGGGAACAGCATATTGACAGGGGTTTTATAGGGGCAGTTCACAATAACTTGAAAAGGGGCAGTTCACAATAGCCTGCAAGGTGAGAGGGAAATACCACACATTCCCTACCTATCTGTACAGCGCAGGACTGGCTCTTCTCTGGTCCAGCAAGTAAGGCAACCACCCACTTCATTACTTGGAGCCATGTGTGAGATAACCAGCCTTGGGCGGGCCTTGAATCCTGAGAATTGGAGCCCATAGGTGCTGACGGTCACATAGGCCCGTGTAGCCTACAAGCTCACAGTTTCTTAGTAACAACGAGCCATGAACAAATAGTTGGGATTTTGATTCTGAAGTTCCTCAGTGCATAGGAAGTGGAGCAGCTGAGACTTCAGCCAGCACCCATATGGAAAGCCCGCAAACCCAGACGCTGTACCGGCTCCACCGCAGGGCCAGCCTGGGGGTTGGTGGGAGCCTGGGAGGCATGGACTCCATGCCTTCCTTACATCCCTGGAAAGTCAGCAGCTGAGGCCTGCCCTGACATGCCTTGTGTGTGTCCTGTGGTTTCCCTCGGATGGCCTTCAGAGTGATCGCCATCTTTTGAGTTTTGGCATTTTGATTTTAGTGTAAGGCTGATTGTGAATTTTTTTTAGTTAATCCAACTTGGAGAATACTTAGCCTCTTAAATGTGCACAAGGCAGTTGCTTTTGCTAAAATGATGCAAGTGTTCAGCCAGATTCAGCTGCCTCAGATGCTGCTGCCAGTTTCCCCGTGGTGAGTGCAGGATTGGATTCCTGGAGCTTCCTGCCTTGCCTCCTTCCAGGGCATTGTTCCCAGAATAGATTTGTATTGATCCAGATTTGTATTGAACCAAATTTTTTTTTAAGATTTATTTATTTTTATTGTAAAGTCAGATATACAGAGAGGAGGAGAGACAGAGGGGAAAATCTCCCATCCGATGATTCACTCAAGTGTGACTGCAATGGCCGGTGCTGTGCCGGTCCGGAGCCAGGAGCCCAGATACTCAAAGCCCAAGGCTCTGGGCTGTCCTCAACTGCTTTCCCAGGCCACAAGCAGGGAGCTGGATGGGAAGTGGAACTGCTGGGATTAGAACTGGCGCCCATATGGCGCATTCAAGGAGAGGACTTTAGCCGGTAGGCCTGACTATCTAAATGTTTTTTTTCCCTCTGAGGATAATGTGATTTGCATATGAATGATTGTTCTTTTCTGCCTGATTCTCTTGTTTTTTCTTTATTGCACCAACTTGAACCTCTAGTACAGTGTTGAAATATAAATCAAGCGAGAACAGACATTCTTGTCATTTTTTACAAAAAGATGTATTTTGTGTTTGAAAGGCAGAGAGTCAGAGAACCACCTGGCCACCGCAACAGCCAGGGCTGGGCTGGGCTGAAAAGAGGAGCCAGGACTTCTTGATTTTTTTAAAAGACATTTATTTATTTAGAAAATAAAGAATTACTGAGGGAGGTCTTCCCTCCGATGGCTCACTGTCTAGATGCCCACTGTGGCCAGGGCTGGGTTGCCTCGAGTCAGGTGCCAGGACCTCCGTCCGGGGCAGGGTCACGGGGTGGCAGAGACACCGGCATTTGGGCCATCTGCTGTTGCCTTTCCAGGTGCACTGGCAGTGGGCTCGAACCTGAACCAGTGCTGTGCTCTGACCTGGGTTGCGCAGGTTGGAAGCAGCCAGCAGCTTAACCTGTTGTGCCGCAGTGCCTGGAGCCGCAGCTAGACTGCTGGTTCTTTTTGCTGTTCTGCTTTGTATTCCATCCAGTGATAAATTAATTTTTTTTTCTAGTCTGAATCTTTGGCAGTAGCGTGCCCTGTTGCATGATATTTTATTTTACTTATTTATTTTTATTGTAAAGTCAGATATACAAAGAGGAGGAGAGACAGAGAGGAAGGTCCTCCATCCGATGATTCACTCTGCAAGTGACCGCAACGATTGGTGTTGCACCGATCCGAAACCAGGAGCTAGGAACCTCCTCCAGGTCTCCAACGCCGGTGCAGGGTCCCAAGGCTTTGGATTGTCTTCGACTGCTTTCCCAGGGCACAAGCAGGGAGCTGGATGGGAAGTGGGGCTGCTGGGATTAGAACTGGTGGCCATAAGGGATCCTGGCGCATTCAAGGCGAGGACTTTAGCCGCTACGCCCCCACGCCGCCAGGCCCAGTATGATATATTTTAATGTGGATTTTTAGAATCAGATAGTTTAGTGATTTGTAGTAAAGATTTGAGACTTTTGTTTAATGTCTGTTTTCGTGGCACTTTTGAGTCAATCTGCTTTTCTTCATTAGTGCTCTGTAGTGTTCTCTTGAAGGACCCACACAGCCTGTGCTGCTACTGAAAGCAGAGCACTGTTGTTTAGCTGCATGTGTTTCAGCTTGTAAGATCACCTCATTCAATACAGCAGCATCTCCTGTGGCCTTGAACCCTCTTTTTCTTTCCGGTCTGTTACCTTCTAATTACTCTGCCTCTTTTCTGGGGTGCAGGCATGATTTGTCCAGGAGCTGCCCCAAGAGTTTTACCAGGCTTAGCATATTAACTCCTTAGCACCATGATTAATACTATCCTCATCTCAGCAATGAAACTTCTCGCTCAGGGAGCTAGAGCCAGTCTCCCTGCGGAATCTGCAGGCTTTCCTGTTCTGGGGCTGTCTGGTAGCTTTCTCTGTTCCATATCTGCTGTGTTTTTCAGGTGTGTCAGTGGAATTCGGGACGATTCTTGTTTATACGTGTGAGAGGAGTTGCTGGCCTCCAAACCATCCGACTCCCTTGGAAGAATTTTGCATTGTACAAGAAGACCCCGATGAATTATTATTTAAGTAGTTTTTACAAGATGTGTTTATATTAAAACATGCTAATGTCCCCATATGTGAATGGTTCCTTGGTTTTAACTCTCTCATGGCCGACTTGGTGAGGTGCTGTCCTTTTCTGCTTTTTGCCACCCCTGTGCTGAGGCTCCTCTCTCCTTTAGTTCACAGGCCATGGATGGTGGCAGTTTGGACAGCAGGGTCCCTCTGGCCCCAGGAGCCGGTGTTTCCGGCATAGGGTTCTGGAGGAAGGGAAGCAGGGAGCCACAGGCCACTGTCAGAAGCCCCTCTGTACTTCACATTGCCATTGCTGTCACATCCATCCCCTGGGCTTGTCTCAGTCCCCGTGACACTGGCTGTATATATATACCTGTCCCGTGTCCTAGCCCAAGTTTTCTGCCCTCACCCACTATCCATCCCTCCATACACTTAAAAAAATATATACATATATATGTTTATATTTTTAATTTATTTTTATTGCAAAGTCAGATATACAGAGAAGAAGAGAGACAGGAGGATATTCTGTCCAATGAGCCACTCCCCAAGTGACCACAACGGCTGGTGCTGCACTGATCTGAAGCCAGGAATCAGGAACTTCTTCTGGAGTCTCCCACACGATGCAGGGTCCCAAGGCTTTGGGCTGTCCTTGACTGCTTTGCCAGGCCACAAGTAGGGAGCTGGATGGGAAGTAGAGCAGCTGGGATTAGAACCGGTGCCCATATGGGATCCTGGCATGTTCAAGGCGAGGACTTTAGCTGCTAGGCCGCTGTGCCAGTCCGTTTATATTTATTTTTATTGGAAAGATATACAGAGGAGAGACAGAGGAAGATCTTCCATCCACTGACTCACTCCCCAAGTGGCCTCAATGATTGGAGCTGAGCTAATCTGAAGCTAAGAGCCTGGAGCCAGGAGCCTCTTCCAGGTCTCCCATATGGGTAACAAGGTCCCAAAGCTTTGGGCTGTCTTTCATTGCTTTCCCAGGCCACAAGCAGGGAACTGGATGGGAAGCGGAGCAGCTGGGATTAGAACTGACACCCATATGTGATCCTAGCATGTGCAAGGTTAGGCCCTCCCTTTTTTTTTTTTTTTTCATGAACTTACATATTTGAAAGGCAGTGTGGCAGAAGGAGGGGTTTTCCATCTGCTTGTCCATTGCGTCAGTAGCTTCAGTAGCCATGTCTAGGCCCGGCTACAGCCTTGAGCAAGGAGCCCCGTCTTGTGGTACTTGGTCCATTTTCTGCCAGTTTTCTTGTACATTAGCAGAGAATTATTCCAAAGTAGATTATCTGGGACTCAGCCACACTTGGATAGTGCATGCAGGCATCACAGGCAGTGGGTTAACCCACTGTGCCACAGTGCTAGGTCCCCCTCTGTCCTGTTCCTACAGCACCACAGGAAGGGGAACCTCATGTGTCTGCACAGTCTCTCTTCCAGCTGCCTGCCTCTCTCACCTCTGTCCATGCAATGTGTGTATGTCACAGCCCTTTTCATGCCTCCCCTTGACACCAATGTGAAAACACACGAAGCAGCCATCTTGGGGCTTGCTCCTTCCCTGTGCCAGTGAGAGTGATGAGGCCGAGGTGATCACTGGCTGACGTTGTCCTGGCGTTGTCTTAGAAGCCCCACTTGCTCCTCTGCCAGGGACACCTGAGGGACTGTGGCTGTGTGTGCCCACTGCAGAAGCTGGTCAGTGAGACCTTGAGGATTGCTAGCCCTGTGGGGTGGAGCTCAGCTTAGCCCTGCAGGGGGAGCTGTGCAGTGCTCTGTCCTACTTGCCAATGACTCCTGTGCACCAGCAGAGTGACTCAGAGAGCCATGTCTCATTCAGATGGGAACTGCAAGCAGAGGACCTGGGTGGACAGATGGAGTGCTTTGGACTAATGGAAATAGCCAGGGAAGGGTTGTTGTTGCTTTTGTGTATTTTTTTTTAAGATTTATTTATTTTTGTTGCAAAGTCAGACATATGTAGAGAGGAGGAGAGATAGGAAGATCTTCCATCCGATGATTCACTCCCCAGGTGACCACAATGGCTGCAGCTGCGCCGATCCAATGCTAGAAGCCAGGAGCTTCTGCCGAGTCTCCCATGTGGATGCAGGGTCGCAAGGCTTTGGGCTGTCTGCAACTGGTTTCCCAGCACCTAAGCAGGGAGCTGGATGGGAAGCAATGCTTTCAGGATTAAATTAGAACTGGCACCCGTGTGGGATCGTGGTGCCTGCAAGGCAAGGACTTCAGCTGCTAGGCCACCATGCCTGGGCCTCCTATTTGAATTTTTTAAGGTGGGTAAATGTTTTACACACATAAAGCTCTTAGAGAAAAGCAAAGCCCCTTAGGTACCCAGATGCACCCAGGTCAGTAGGAAGGCTGAGACAAGGCCAGGAGTAGGGCCTAGATGTTGAGGCCATGGAATGCGGACATCAGACCAGCCTCTGCAAGGTTCTGAGGCTGAGAGGTGGCTGGGACCAGCCAGGAATGTCCCCAGTGTGCACGTGTGTCAGGACCCAGCCCGGTGTGTGGTAGGTGAAATCTCTTTTCTTCCAATTCTTTTTTTCCTGATTCCTAAGCCTTTGGGAAACAAAAGAATAAATTATTTCTGCACATGTTTTGAAACTACATATGCTAAAAATCCTATTTTTTCCTCACTTTCATGTTGTAAGTTTTTCCCCATAATACGGTTTGTCAACAGTGCACAGCATGTTTTTTTTTTTTTTTTAATTAGAAAAGCAGATTTACAGAGTGAAGAAGAAACAAAGATTTTGTCCACTGGTTCGCTTCCCAAGTGGCTATAACCGCTATTGCTGGGCTGATCCAAAGCCAGGAGCCAGGTCTCCCATGTGGGTGCAGGGTCCCAAGACTGGACCATCCTCGACTGCTTTCCCAAGCTACAAGCAGGGAGCTGGAAGGGAAATCGGTAACCATATGGGATCCCGGTGTGTGCAAGGCGAGGATTTAGTCATTGAACCATCGCACTGTGCCATTAAAAATGTTTAAGCTATGCATCAAAGAATATAATTTTAGTTACTTATTCACTCCCATTTTTATTTTCAAGATAACCATCGCTATGGGTGTTACTACTTTTTTTACAACAGTGGTAAGTGACACCAATTGCTACAATTTAAACGAATGAGTCAAGCAGATTGCACAATTTTTGGAGTTTTTGAATGGTGTTGTCAAGCTACCATCTAAAGAAATTTGGCTCAAAAAATCTTTCCTCGGAGTATATAGAATGGTTGTTTCCCTACCCTTTGCTGTCTTTCTTTTTGGCCAGTTTTTATAGTTAGAAATGATCCGAATGGGACTTGTCATGTTTCTGATGACATCTTACTAAGCTTACGGGACAGAATGTCCAGTTCTTGCCTCTCTTGTCCGGATGGGCATTTCTGGGACATTTTGAAGAAAAGCCACTTTAACCCTTCTACCGTCACGTCGCGGGTCCGCAGCAAGCGCCACCAGGTCTCGAACACTGGCCGCACTACGCGCCCGTGGCAGGCCAGTCGCCGGCCGGGCTGTGCGCAGGAGCGGAAGTGGGCCTGCCCCTCCCCCACCCGCTTCCGGCGGCGGCTCAGTTCTCCCGCCTCCGTCGTCGCCGCCGCTCGTGGTCGTCCCGCCATGGCACTGTCGCGGGGACTTCCTCGGGAGCTGGCCGAGGCCGTGGCCGGGGGCCGGGTGCTGGTGGTGGGTGCGGGCGGCATCGGCTGCGAGCTCCTCAAGAACCTCGTGCTCACCGGCTTCTCCCACATCGACCTGGTGAGGGCGGGCGGGACGCGCGCGCGCGCGCTCGGCCGGGCGAGGGGCTGTGGTCGCGTGCCGGCGGGGCGTCTCGGGGCCCCGGGCTGGGCGGGCGGTCGTGGCGGCAGGCGTCGCGGGAAGCTGCGGGCCCGTGCGGGGCGCGATGGCCGTGGGCGCCGAGGAGGCCGCGGGCCCGGGTCTCTCGGGCCCCCCTGCGCCCCGCGGGCAGCCTCGGGGGCGCGGGGTGGGTGGGCCGCGCGTCCTCCCGCTGCCCAGCGGTCGTCCAGCTGTGCCAGCCTGCAGCCCCTCGTGGGTGCTGTGACTTGGATTCGAACGTCCCCTCCGTAACTCAGGCCGTGGGTGGAGGCGTGAGCCGCCCACCCACGCGTGCACCAGCTGGTGGCTACCGCTCCGGGCTTGCAAACGCTCTTCTCAGTCCGTTTTATTTTTAACGCATGAGGACACAGGGAAGCCACGAGGGTTGGGTAACTCTCTCCGGGTGGCACGATTCCCCGTCGCCCCGGGTGCCAGCCTTGTGCTGCCATCGTGGACCCCGTGTCCGGGCAGTGTCCTCGCTCGTGTCCACGCGTACGCTGGCGTTGGTGGACATCGTCGGGAAGCTATGGCCTTCTGTATTTCGAGTCCTCCGGGAGGGGTTGGCGACGTTACCTGGGGACCTAGGGTGGGCGTTTCGAAGCGTCAGGTGTAGGGGAAATGGGCTGAAATCAGCCATGGAGCTGAAGCTCGGAATGAATGAAGCAGGAGCGGGTAGGGAGGTGTGTGTGTTGACATTAGGAATGAATGAAGCAGGTGTGTGTGTGTGCGCGGGCGCGCACAGTCCGACTTTGAAGGGTTAGCTTCGCTTCCGAGTCCGTAAGACACATCCAAATATATGACTAACGCTTTCGTAACTACGGCTGACTTGTTTACCAAACCCTTTGGTGCCACACAAGATAGCTTTTTTTATTTGGTTTTCACTTTTGTGGCGCATCGAGAGGCAAGAAGATGTCTGTAGGTGGTCACAGCTGTGGATGGTTTTCGGGACTTGTAGCCAAAGCCATTTGGCTGTCTCAGTGTTTACGTCACGTTGATTGGAGTAGAAAGAAAGTGATTTTGGCCTTTCAGTTTTATTCATTTTTCATCTGTATGTTTGTGCATGGCAATTAGATCTAGCTTAAAAGGTGTTGGGTGTTTTTTTTTTTTTTTTTCAGCGTGCCACCCGTTTTGACGTCAGACATGCAGGTTTCACAGCTGTCGGGTAGAGATCAGTGTGAGACTGCATAGAAAAGCACTTAAGTTAAAGACGGCAAACAGGAACCCAGCTAGCCACTTTGTCATTTAGCATGCAAAATCACAGGGTAACGATTCACTG